ATTTTAAATTCACTGTCTTTAAAAGTGAATTTCCACCTAAAGCATCTGGATATTTCCTTCAGATTTACATTTAGTTTGTGTAAACAATAAAAAAAAAAAAAAAAAAAAAAAAAAGAAATAGGGATATTTCTGGTCAGGATGACATAGTGTTTTCATAGTGATTTACATTTTATCTCTTTCTGTTATGTATTCATGGTCCAAACACATAACAGAGAGAGATAAAATATAAAAATAGAAAACTAAAAAAGATACAGCCAGCTCTGAAAATAAGAAAATGGAACAGAAATACAAAGCAGTAGTACTGGAATTGCTGGGCTCCAGGTTGAGAAGAAGAAAAAGGCATCCAAGGTTTTAGTATCTGTGAGGTACAAATTTATTCATTTGATGAGATATTGGTAGTTAAGTTTAGTGTTGTCCACAGATCTCTTTCTTTTGACTTTGATCTTGAAAAATAGTTTGCGGGATACAGCTTTTTTCTCTTATCCCTCTTGTTCTTTTATCTTTCTTTTCTTTCCCTTTTTACCCCCACCTCAGGCTTTATTAGTTCTCTTTTCCTCCCCCAATCTCTAGTCATCTAAGCCCTTTAAAGCCATGAGCACTCCACTTTTCTTCAGCGATGTTGCCCCCTGACATTATCCTTCCCAGATTAAAGCTAACCACCATCTTTCCATTCAGTGATTCCCTCTGCTTTGAGGTACCTGACTAGACCCCAGCCTGTGGAGCTCAGCCCTGAGCTCATCAACACTGCCCTGAAGACCGGTATTGGCCTGGTGTGCAAGCCCTGCTCCCCCAACAAGGTCCCTGACTTAACCCTGCCTGATTCTCCATGAAGCCTTAGACACACACACACACACACACACACACACACACGCACACACACACACTTTTTATAAAGGAAAATATAAAAGAAGAAAATCTTAGACCTGTATCATGAAATGAATGTTATATCAAATCCAACAGTACTAAAAGCAAAACAAAACAAATAAAAACATCTCAACTGTATTAATCATGTTTCATGTTTTTTTATTTTCTGTATTTTATATGATGCTTTGACATCTTGGGCCTTTTCTAATCCTGAAGAGAATGCCCCTTCCAGGGCTCCCTAATTGGAGATAGTAAACAACCTGCTGCCAGCATGTCTTTCATATGTAAACTAAACATTCTATAGCCTGTATCCCCAACCATCTATCTGCTTTATCAAACTCGCACACACCAAGCCAATATTACCTCTGCCCTAAATTACCCCAGGACCAGGTACGAGACAACTAGGGACCATCCCTATAGCCCAAGAGTCTGCTGAAATTATTCAAATTTGCCATTCCTAAAATACTTAACTTTCCTTGCCTATTCTTTCCCATGAAAACCACAATGAAGGCTTGTGCCTGTATTTTTCCCTCATTCCTTCTGCCTGCTGACCAACCTTGGTACTTCCTCCATGTGGCCCTACATGGTGTGACATGCCCTCTCCACTTGGGAACTGTAATAAATTCTCATTTCAAAGGCAGTTGTGTCTGTAGCTGTCACCTTCTCATACCTGATTAAAACAAATCCCAAGAAGATTTCAAGACATCAACCAAGTACAGTTTATCCCAGAAATGAAACAATAATTCATTAC